TTATTTAAAGCATAATTAAAAATAAATATAAAAGCACCCTAAAAAACAAACAAACAAATAAAGCTTGTTATACAGAACATTCATTATCATTAGTCTTATATCATAATGAAGGTAGGGCATAATAAGGTTAATTAGGGTGAGGGATCCACCGTCAGAAATGTACAGGGATGACCGGTGGATGGTGGATGTGGAATTTTCAGGCTCTCAATCTTTTTCATCTCGCATTAAGAAATGCTGTTTATCCCACTTGACAAATTTCTTTCATTCAAATTTTAATTTTAAAAGCTTGATGGATGAATTTTTCCCTCTATTTTCAAGACTATTGTTGGAATTTTTTGTTTTTTCTCCTGCCCACTCCTTTCACTTTTCCGATGGTGGATTCCTGACAAAGTGATTTGAATAACTGAGCGTTCCTTGATGCTGGTTGTAAAATAACAACAGAAGTAATACGAACGGCTATGAGGACGGAAGTGGATAGTATACGGGTTGCACTAACCTGGAGAGAATTCAGGATCGCGAACAGATATTGAAAAACAATTGTTTCAGAGTTGACGCTCATCAACCCGAAGAGCCATGTTAACCCCAGCAATGGTAATAATATTATAACTCCTTTTAAAGCTGCCCTGTTGAAATACGATGACAATTTCAAGAAATTTATTCCGTTTAAAATTACGTAGATTGGTTTAGCGTGGACGATAACTAGAAAACACACCCTATCCGTGAATCCAACATCGCTAATATTATAATTTGCATAATTTATGTTTCACGAATTATGTGTGTTTTCTCAAAAAGTTCGTTTGCAGTATACGTCACAGTAGCCATCTTGGTTGACCTTCAACAAAGGATTTTCTATAGAATTGTCCATTCAATCAAATCGACTGCCGGTCTTATGTCTTATCATAGAAAAATGATTGAAAACGAACAGTAGATAACGTCACGACTACAAGGCATCTTACCTCATTTTTGTATATTTTTGTTTTTTTAAAGGGTCACTTCTTAGATTGACCATGACTGTAAGAACTCTGACGATTATTACTATATTAACCTGAAAAACATGCAGTGTGGTTGTTAATTGACAGGCAATGGTCATTTCTATTTGTTAAGTTATGCGTTTTCCTGTAAGATGGTCTATGAATTTGTCCATAGTTTGCAGAGGGAAATGGTTAGGAAGCCTTTTGTTGGTAGTTTTTTTTGTGCACTTTTTTCCAAGCTTGACAGTACACAATCTTTTGTTTTACTATTGTTTTAGCCATACTGGACGCATCTGAATGAGCAAGGCGAAATTTTTTCTTTTGACTATTTCTTCCAAATGCACACAAATTTCTAACCAATTTCGAAATGTTTCATTTCATTGTCTCATAGAGGGGTTTTTATGTTCACTCATTTTGCAATTCACATATCGTCAGTCGGTAAAACGTCGTGCACGGTCTTGACTGATTCAACTTTAAAATACATACAAAAGATGTACAAAAAAGAAGTACAACAAAAGGTTTCCAGGCATTCCTCTCTATTAACATTTCTTTGATAAAAGTACCAACTGCAAGCCACGTTGTCGTGSCTGCACGGTGTTTTCTACACTACCAGCATTACTCATCGCTCTGACAGATATTTGGTTACACTCTAGTGTGCTGCAATTTTCCAAATCATCCTCGACGTTTTAAAACGTTATTTTTGCCAAGAAACTTATTCTTCTTTTCGTAAGCCGTCTTAACACATTCAAAATATTATGATGTTCTTTCTCAAATCAATATAACGCCCACCTGGATAGAAAATCGTTATTCTTACTTACCATCAATACGCATAATGCAGGCCCTATGAA